TCCCTACAGAGCTAAGTACTTTATGAACTGTTTTGGGCTGTGAAGTAAAACGGGCAATGTTCTCAATGAACTTTGGTATTGGAGAGAGATCGGATTACAAACAGGTTGCTGTGACATAACTCATTTTTACCAGTAAACTGATTCTGCAGCTATAAATGACTCGAAGTAGATTACAGGCTTTTAGTAAGTGACAAATACATTATTTCTCCTGGCAGCCATGTTTTCAGCAAGAGCCAGCATGGTGGATGTAGCAGCAGGGGGCGCACAAAGCGCTGTGGGTAACACTGCATGCACACTTTGAAACAAAAAGGGACTGTCACTTTAAACACAGCAGAATAGGATTTATGAGCTGTCAGATAAAATGATGCAACAGAAGAAGAGAGTTGGAAATACACACTGGCCAGATTTGGGCGGACACACACACAGACACAGACACAGACACAGACACAGCCTTTCACATCATCAGTACCTGGCAGACACTCCGGGCAGCACTGATTCTCCTGGGTCACAGCCAAAGTTCCTGGAGCACAGGTTGGACAGGAACGCAGATAACAAGTCACCTGGGCATGGAGACACTCACACTGACGACAGCTGCCGTCTGTCCACTGAGACATGTCCTACAGCAGAGTAGTCAGAAAGACAGGAGAGACAGAGACAAAGATGATTAGAGCTGTGACTAGTTTAAGGAGTCACAGCAAAGAGAGTTCCTTCTCCGTAAACCATTCAATTGACAAAAACTACACTAAAAGCAGAGATAGCTGTGTGTCAGTGTGTGAAAACATGAGACACACGTGAATCCTAAAGGTTATTTTCTGAACCCGGACAGTAAGAAATGAAGACAGAGTGATAATAGCTGGTGTTTACAGCACAGCAGCAGGTTTTTAACATTTCATGCTGAGGCAGATATAGTGTTAAAAATTCATTGGGGGTTTTTCTGGACCGGACTATAAATATTTAAGATGAGGAGACTCAGAGAGAGACGCAGCAGAATAATAAGACACTGATTCTGGTTTTGGGCTGATTTTGGTCCGAGTCAATGCTCCTTCACTTGTCAATGCTTTTCATATTTACTTAATGCCCTGGTGTTGGATTTTAAAGAGTTTTCACACTGGTTCTTAATACGGTATGCAGAGACATTAGTTTCTGTCCCTGTTTGTGTTCAAACGGCAAAGTAATGCCCACTCGCTCCTCAACTAATGGGCATTATCTAATCCACCTCCAAATGGAGGTTTGGCTCCTGTATTAACTAATTTGGGTCTAAAACAAGTAAAACTTCTACAGTTTCCCTCAAACTTTTAATATGCATTACTTTCACAAATCCCACAAAGACTTGCACACAGACCAATCCAAAAACAAACAAGCAGTGACACTTAGCAACAACGCTTATTTTCCACACTGCAATGAACAAATAACAAAACAAATGAATGAAAAATCTTAATTACCTTGTAGGTTTTTCCTTTGTACAGACAAGAAGGTTTGACAGCCAAACACTCAGGGCAACATTTTCCCGGCAGGTGAACCAACTCTGATCCCTAAAAAACCAAAACCAAAGAAGATTTTTTTTTTAATTTTGTCACAATATTGTTTTTTAAGTTTTTAAATTTTCAAAATATATAGACCTTTCACCCTTTTAATATAATACATTTTACTAAGATTACAGTGGCGTAATGTTGTCCTTCACCTTCTCAAATGATAAATACATTTTTGCTTCTCCAAGAGACCTTTTTTAATCACCTCTTAATAACTGAAAAGGAACAGAAAAATGTCTTTCAGCTCATTTTAACAGATTCTACATGGTCCGGTTTCAGTTACTGTTTGAATATATTTCAGCAATTCTGAGTGAGAAGTTGAATCAGGTAAAAATCGCCATAAACCTTGCTCCATTAAAAACCTCTTTTTAGTCTAAATTACACATTTTCCCCGATGTCAAATTGAATTATGTAAATTAGATGTTGTTTCTTTTTTACCATAGAAAACTGTCCGCCTCATTTCTGTTGACACAGACAAGGTGTTTATGTTTTATTACAGACAGGGAAATTTAGATCATTCACATAAAATATGTAAACACGGGCATCCGCTCATATAACTATCAAAAAAAACAGCTTTTTAACATAAAATGGTCCAGATTCAGACTCTATGAAAACCTGAAGAATATAAAAGAAATAAACTGAGGCTTCAGGTTTTATTCTTTTATGTAATTAAAGACTGTAAATGCTGTTAGAAAATGTAAATTTGATGAAATGAGACAAGACAGTATTAAACCTAATAAGGCAGAAAAATAATCTGTATGACTTCATATGATCGTCTCAACTCGTTTCATCACATTAACATTTTCTAACAGCATTTGATGTCAAGCACAGTGGGTTTCCTGTGTATGAAATGAAAGAAAACAGAGATTAGACATTGACCATCAATGTCCTATTGGGCTCTAACAACCCGTCATCCAAACCACAACCCTAGTGACCACAACATATCTCCCTGTGATATTGGGTGCGGTCACCAGAAATACTGAAATGCCAGCAGTTGGTTACAACTGAAGAAGCCTCTTGATTTGAGGATGAGAGGAGAAACAACGTCAGAGAAACCATTTCAGTTGCCCTTGATGTAACTTATTTGGATTAAAGGACATGAATGACTGAGAACGTACACAGACATGATGTAATTAATATGTTTATAAAGACAAAAAAAAGTGAACAAGAAAATTGTGAATAAAAAAGGCAAAACAGCGTACAAAAGGACAAATGACAAAATGACAGAGAAGCCAGTTTGTATTTTGATGTTTTTGGGCCATTGTCCCTTTGCCCATGATGCACCTGGGTACATGAATTGAGAACTAGTGTTTCCAGGTAGAAACAAGCAACTAGGTCATGAAAAACTAGCCCAGAAGAAGTGACCGGCCCACCTCACACCGAAGGATAAAGAGGACACTAAACTGACACATATCAATGTATTTACTTAGCATTTCATTGGCATTAATTTTAGGAAACAATGTATTTGACAACATATGTATGATGTTCACTCTTTGCCTAGGTATAAACCTGCAAAGGTATTTTGAATCATTGCCAATTTCAGTTTGGGTCTTTTGATAACATCATTCAGTTTTTCCCACACTTCCAACTTCCATTCTGGTATTGCAGCACCCAGACAAACTAGGCTCTTTGTCATGTGAAGACAAACAAGAGTGAGCTTAAAAACTATCTTGTTCTCAGTCTTTCTTTCTAACTCACACTGCTCCAAAAACAACCCCCAATACCCCTCCAGCCCCCTGAAAAAAAAGTCTAAATGCTGTGCAGTCCTACAAAAAGTGGGACACCTGTTCAACCTCAATGTGTCATCAATGTGTCATTCTCACAGTGTGTCCTTGTGTAATTCCTGTTTTGTTTCATCCTTTCACCTACCCTGAATGAGTCCACCATTGGCCAGCAAAAATCTTTGGAATGAGACCAGAATGTCCACATGAAAATAATTTTCGATTAGTTTCCAAATCCCTTCTTCTATTCTGCTGCATTATTTTCAGTGGAGACCATTCCTTATGCACAGGTGGTACAATCTGTCAAGTGGTATTTTGGTATCACCTCACCTTTGGACACTTTACTCTTCCACACTCAGCTCTGCGACACAGAACTTGTCCCCGGCTGCAGCTGCAGAACTCACAGCCAGTACCGTTCCACATGTCTCCATGATACCGTACTGTGCCCTCGTACAGGCAGCTTCCTTTAGCTGCGGCACATTCTTCACAACACTGACCTGCTCGCTTCACTTTAGTCTGACCCTGAGAAGAAGAAGAAGATGAGGAACAAAAGTAAATAATTCAGTTTGGCATAAAACAACAAAATCTATCTCACAGGGAGACACAAGCTGCTGGTCAAGTGCTGGTACTGTGGTAAATCTGGACAATCTACCAGCAACTCATTTGCTCAGTAAAACTTTTCTGTAGGGACTTTGATGCAGGGACTTGAGTCATTTAAATGAGGAGCCTCTTACTGTAATGTAGACTCAAGCTGCTTTATAATCTTTGGATAATATTTCTGTTTGAGTTTGGTTGTGAAAAATTGCATTAGTGTGAACTTTAAAATTGATGTTAGGATAAAATTATTTGCAAATGAGTTTCTGCACATTGTAAATTTGTTGTGTAGCTGCCATAAAAACCAATAAACTCAGTAAAAGCAGAGATGTTGTTAAACTTGTCATGAATGCAATTTAGTGCAAACAAGTTTGTGCATATAGAATATATGTCGAGAGTCCTGAGAAACAGTAACTTTAATTGGGGAGAAATAAACTGTTTTATAGCTCTTTATATAAATGTAAAGAGCTGCAATGTCAACATATTACATTATTCAGATGCAAACAAAAAAAGCAGGAGAAAATACAGCTGGAAAATAGTTTTTATTAACAGATTTACTGTTGACAACTTAATTATATAAAAGTTAAAGAAAATGTAAGAAGTGAGGAAGCACAGAAACTCTCTGATTTATTTTCTTTCAGGTTAAAATAACCTAATTTAGTTATTTTCTTTTTATTCTGCAATTCATTTAGAATTATTTATTTTAGGGTTGTTTATTTTTTATCAATATCTGCAGTTGCTGGTGTTGTATTTAGATTTAATCTTTTTCTGCATTTCATTTGATATATAAAAATGTTTTTGTACTGTGTTTCCCATGGCCCCTCTTACTCAGGACCCACGTTTGGCTAGCAGCGGACCTTCCTGTGAGTAGTTGGTTTAGTGCTGGTTTCCTTCTTTTAGTAAATCAGAACCAAGGATTTTAAAAGACGTAAAGTGACAACAGACAGTGCGGTTTTTCCTCACATGCAAAAGTTGGTGTGGGAGAGAGAATATTCGTGGGATTTTGTGCAATTGATTTTGTGTGTGTGCAACTTATTGTACCTTCTCACAGCTGATTGGTGGGCACGTGTCCGTGTGACACTTTGACTGACCATGGTAACACACACATGTGGTGCAGGAGTTTTTCTGCCACTGGTCACCATGCTGCAAAAAACACAACAAACACACATTCATATTTTATGCTATATTGTGTTTAACTTGTAACACGCACGTACAGACACACAGACACACACAAACACAGAGGAGGGAGAGATTGAAGACCGAGACCTTTAGAGACTCACTCAGGCCCATGGACAGAAACTGAATGTAACAAATGGATGTCAACTCCAGTTGACCATAAACTCCTCATAAAACCATTTAAAAAAAACTTTGTGAGCGTGCTCGATTTTACAAACCTTTATTTCCTAGGCGTCATTTTTCTCCAGTGTAAAAGACCATGTCCATTTCTTAACTATGATTGAAGGTTGTTGCTGTGGAAATTTGTCTTTGTCAGCAGCCATATCACTGCTCAAGGATGAATGGGTTTTGTTTTTACTCTCAGCTTTATACAGTCAGGTCGTAGCAAGCGGATAAATCCAGAGTTTTGGTTATTACATCACAGAAATGATTTCCCTTGACCTGTGTGAGGTGAATATTTATGCTCAGATCTGAGATTTTTTGTTCTGACTTTGCTCCTGCAGCTTTAACCAGAGCTGTCAGCAGGGATCACACAAATGGCTGTGGAATCACAGTAAGATTCTAGACTAATGTTGTTTAAAAAACTAACACAAACACACAGGGGGGAGACACAGGGTGCCATTACTAGTGCGCGCTATCAGCCATGCTGTCACAAGACTGAAGATTGGGACACAAACACTAAAACATAAAAAAAAAATGCTGTTAAACCAGGACCATCACACCCACATACAGGGGGAGAGAGAGAGAGAGAGAGAGAGAGAGAGAGGGATAGAGAGAGAGAACTCACCTGGTACTGTTTTCCAGCAGACAAACAGGGATTAGACACACACTGAGGACAACAGAGACCAGGCTGGATCACCAAGTTCTCATGCTGTGAAGAAAAGACAAGAGTCAGTCAGAGTGTGTGTGTGTGTGTGTGTGTGTGTGTGTGTGTGTGTGTGTAGATAGTATGTGTCATTGTTATGGCAGAATAAAATACTACTAAAATACTTCATTGATTACTGTTCAAAGATTATTTATGGGGCAGTGGTGAATTGGTGGTTAAGGAAGCGGACTTGGGTCTGGAAGGTTTCAGGTTCGAGTCCACCAACTGCCACTGAGGTGCTCTGAGCATGACACCGTCCCCACACACTGCTCCCCTTGTCATTAAAGCTGCCCACTGTTCAATGTTTAATTTCAAGTAATTAGCACCAAGTTTCCATTTCTGTCATTTGAAGCAGCAACTCATCCATCATCAACTCTTTGTTTGGTGAAATAAACTTTACGTGCAGCCAACGAGGGACATTTAGTTTCTCTGATTTATATTCTGTTCATTTCATTCTGTCTGTGGACTCAGGATGTCGGACCACATAAGCCTGAGTGAGCTGATGAAGGGGAGAGAGACTCACAAAAAGACAGTTGTATTTGTCAGGTACCTACCGCTTTACAGGCAACCTGCTGACACTCAGTCACTGAACACTGGACCTGACCCCTGCTGCAGGAACATCTGGAGCAGAGACTGGGCTTCCACTGCTCACCGTCTCTGTACACAACACCCTGCCAGGAACAGGAGTCTGAGACACACACACATACACACACACAAAATCAGTGTTAGAGTCAGATAATGAGCTGACTCTTGACCCAGACACTCATTGATTTACTGTCAGTGAAAAAATAGACAGAAATGAGCTGCTCTTGACCACAGGAAACAAACACGAGCGCTGCAGAACAAGAAAGGAACAGTTCATGGTTTTCTCTAAGAGTCAGTGCCAACTGCCCTTTAATTGACCCTGACTGTTAGGACGTGTCTGAGATATGGAGGCTGGAGGCTCTTGATATAAAACAAACACAACAGCAGTTTGTAAACCACTCACGCTGAGTCACCCAGGTGCACGAGGAAGATCAGTGATTTTAACTCACAGTGACAGAGGAGTTGTTGAACGACTGCTGCCTCTGTCACTGAAATCCTTCTGAAGTTGACAAAAAGATCTGCAAACAATCTGCAACTTAAGGTTTAATAAAATTCTGCTAATAAATAATGCAGCAGGAGCCAAAACAACCAGACAGGCGTCTGCAAACAGTCATTTAAAGGCATATAACTCCTGTTCATTTAGTTCTTAGGCTGGCATAGAAGACAAGCCATTTGCTTTAACTACAGTGAAGCATAACCTTGTGATTTCAAGTGACGGCCATTTTCAACAAACCTTGTACTGTAGTGGTTGCAGTCCAAGCGGTGTACTAAAAATATGAACAGAAATTCGAAATATTTTTCTTTTTATTTAGCTTGGACTATCCGCAGTAAGAGCAGCTAATATTCAGCTGCTACAGAAAACCCACGTCTGACAGGGTTTTAATTATCATTGAACTAGCTGAAACATCCTTCAGACAAATATGTGAAAAGCTTTTAAAAGTGTCTCTGATTAAAAAAATTACAGTAGAGCCATTTGCATTTTAATTACAGAGTGAATGTTTGCATCTGCAGGGCATTAAAGAAAACCTTGGTGTGGATGAAATAGGAGCAGAGAAAAGATGAAAAACTTTCGAGTATTTTTTCATCATTTGTCAGTGACTCAATATTGAGTCACATTTAAAGGTTGTGTTTGTACATCAGTGTGTTTCACTCAGGTTCACTTTGTTCTGCAGCTGAAAGGAGAACAAGAGAGGGAGGAGGACTAGGAGCACAAGGAGGAGGAGAAAAAAGAGCATCCTTGACTAAGGAAGAGGGAAGAAGAAGAAAACCTTAAACACAGTGGCATCTGGTTCAGCATCAATGCTTTAACAGCTAAGTAGAAATGTTTCTGAACATCAGTTCACTTTGTAATCTCTAACAGCACAACAACTAAGAGTTATTAAACAGATCCATTAGGTACTTTTATTTAGACTAGTTGTGCTTTAATCTTAACTGAAAAACAAACTGATAAACTGAGAAATTATACAGTTTATCTTGAGACTTAATTTTAAGGAAATCTTCTTAAATATTTTTTCTACAATATTATGTTATATAGTGGCACTTTTGCCCAGAGGCAATGTCTCATTGTTTCATTGATGTGGAACCCAAGGGTTCACCTCCTGGTTGGTACCTTCCAGTGGACTCACAACAGCACGAAAGTTCAGGAGGGGCTTGTACGGTGCAGTGTAACTTGGGTGGCGGTCGTGGAGACTGCCAGCTGCCCCCGCGACCAGGTAACAGATAAGACGAAAATGGATGGATGAATCGATTATGTTATATCACATATTCCAATGATTGTGTTTATTTTCCTCATTTGTTGTTTCTATTATAACTGTATCTATTTTTTAACATTTTAACCTCTATCTTTCAGTTATCCTCACTACTTCCTCTTTCTTTAACTACTTTTCCTGTCCTCAAACTTGATGAATCCTGAGGAAGAGCATGTTCTCTCAGAGACAGGTGTGTGTTTTTGAAGGACAATCCTAACCTCCAGTGCGTGCACATCGTGGACAACACTCTCCAGCTGGTGTGAATGGACGTTCATCCTCTGCACAGGCGAGAGCAGGACAAGACAGGACACTGCAGGAGACGGTGCCTCTGGAGCATGTGCAGAGAGAGCACATGGCGGGAGTCCACTGACTGTTGTCCTGAAGGAGGTAACAGAAACATACAAGGTCAGTCCTGAGGAGGACAGGAGCTACAAGGGTAGAAGCAAGACAAAGAAAAAGGAGGTTAGGTTTGTTGAATGTGTCCAAAAATTGAAACATTTTTGACTGTTGGAGATGTTAAAGCAGCTCACAGTTAATAGAGTCCTCATTAATGATGAGAGCTAAAGGCCAACGTGGAGTGCATCAGTGAGTTTCTCTACACTTTCAAACTCCAAGTAATGTTTCAACTATTTTTGTACGGTACATCATTAAAACTGCGTCAAAAAATCAGTAGGCTCGCAGTCAAGCTGCAGGGTTTAGGAAACTCTACGTGTCCAAATATATTTCAGCTACTTGACAGATATTTTAAAGACTTAACAAAACATTCAACTTTTAAACCAGCATCAGATTAGGTATTTGGTTTCCAATATGTTTACTGCTGCTTATCTAATAATGAGAGGAGTTTTAAATCGCTCACACTCACAAAATCAAAGTGATTCTAACTAACAGAGACAGAGGAGCTGTTGACTCATTACTGCCCCCTGTGGTCAGTTTGTGTAGCTAAGGTAAATCTGGGTTAAGAATTACAATCAATGTGAAGATCAAAATCTGATACCTTAGGCAAAGATCACAAATCACTGCTTTTCTCCATGAACACTGTGGGAAAAAGGCAGCTCACAAACCTCAGTATTTACTTAGAAAGATCTGTATAACAGTGAGATGAATGAGCAGACATATTCTGATTGATTTCCTGGATTTGTGGTGATAATGAATTTCATGTTTTTGTTTTTTTGGTTCTAGCAAATGGAGGCAATCTCTTACTTTATCCACCTTGCCTCAAACACATAAAGCACTTTTAATATTTAAGGAACTCATCCAGCCTGCAATGTTTTATAGTTGTGATTGACAGAAATGAATTGGAGGGAGTTTTTCAGATAATTATTATCTCTGAGGAGAGTTCGATGTGTCTTTTTCATCAGATTCCTAAGGAAACACTACAAAAGCTTGATGAGACTCTTCCAGAGTAAATGAGATGTCAGTGTGAATGTGTTCAAACAAGTGAAAAAGCCTCAGTCAGGTTGACACAAAGGCTATAAAGTCTTCTGTTAAACTCTGACATGTATCCCTGGCCAAGTATTTTACTGTAGCACTATTGTTCAGATTTGTGTGTAGTGCTCCTTTGACCGAAAGCCTGCCACCACAGAGACGTGCTGTACACATTGTCCAGAAAGTCCTGGTAATTAAGCTTTTTTTCCCACAGGGAGGTGAGGATAAAGAGGACGGTGATTAAATTCCATTCATTAATCTGTCCAAAAGGTCAACGACAGATTAAATCAACTACTCATCAAAGAGCTGCTCTGAGCAACGTCCAAACATAGAGACAAAAGAAGAGGGAAAACAACTGCAGTGTGAAGGACACTTCAACATGAGTGGACTGGTTTTAAAGAGGGGTTACAATCAGAAGGTTGGAAAAAAACTAAAATACTTCAGAAGAATTCTCCTTACTCATTTTAATACTCCATTAGAATAATGTCTAATATTGTTATATAAAAACAGAAAAATATATAACAGATATTAGACCTTAATCAACTAGCCAGAAAAGTAAAATATTGGTCCAGAGATCCAGGTTGAACTTAGCTAAAATAATGACTCATTTACATACATTTATTGGTCATTAATCTATGTACTCATATTGAAATAATAGATTAACTTAGTATTAGACCGTGCAGAGTCAGGAGGGGGACAATGAGCAAAGTTGGGAACGACTGCTCTAAATCAGTGCAGGAAGAATTCCTTCACCAGGACAGCCCGGCTGCAGGGACCGGAATTCTCTTTAGAAGTCAGATAAAGATCATCCACAACCAGGCTCTGGTGCCAAACCTGGAGCCAGACCCTTTTTTTTCTTTACTGCAGTGTTGAGACAGAGAAATGAGCGAGAAAAACTTGGACTTACTCCATAGACAAGTCCTTCATACTGACAGGAACCCTCAGACAAGGACACACATTGTGGGCAGCACTGATTGGACAAAATCCTCAACTGTTCACCCTGTAGGACGAAGAATACACACAAATTTAACACGTTCAAGGAATTGTGTGAGTGTGTGTTTGTGTGTGTGTAGGGGACATTACAGCTCTACTTCTCTGAGGTTTTCAAATTTTCACATTTGATGGTACTATAGTGCAACAATAAAACATGAGGACAATGTGGTGCGTGCACGTGGTGCCAACATGCACATCCTATAGTGGTGCAGGGGAAGTAGAGGCATTGACATACACAGGGGTGAGTGCATATAGATCTGGCCGAGGTGAAGTTTCCTAAGCCGGCAGAGGGAAGAGGGGAAAGGAGAAGAAGAGGGAGGTGGGAGAAAGAACAGCAACAAATAGAAGAACGGGGGAAGATGATAGGCAGACATGGAGAGGAGAAGAAGAGGCAACAGGAAGACAAAGAGATGAATAAGAAGATGAAGAAGGAAAAGGATTTATGAAGAAAGTCTTGTTCCCTCATTCTGATGTTCAGCAGTAAAACTCGCCAACTCGTTTGCATGGGAACTAGTTGGTGACTAGTTCCCATGGCGACTAGTTGGTTGGTTCTTCATATATTGGATTGTTCTACATTCACTTTCTTTCTACACTTATCTTTATTATATTATTAATTTGATTTGATTTAATTAGTTAGGACCACGTCGTGCCAGAAATGGTCAGCAAGATTGACAAAATCGTCCGTTCAATCCCTGATCTTTCAAAATAAAGCCTGTTCTCGAGGGACTTCATTTTCCTCCCACAGTCTGAAAACATGTAAGATTTGTGGCTCTGTCACGGACTGGTGAACTGTCCACAGTGTCGTTCCCCCCCGTGGTGGACTGCAGGGATTGGCTGTGGGGGATTTTAACAATAACATGACAGGAACAATTTCTGTTGTTCTGCAATTTATGTCTGTTCTTTTCAGACTTTAACTTTCAGCACATTTGGGGGGACCTATGTTCTAGTTTTTGAAGAGTTAGGTTTGAAATTGGAGGAAAGCACCAATTAATGTCCCTGCTCCAGTGTGTGTCCAGTGATAATCACTGGGGTGTTTCACAGATTCACAGGTTCAAATGCAGAAAATCATTTCCTTTAAGGGACTATAGGACTACTGAAGTTCTTACCCTCTGAAAGTCACAGTGTGGGTTTGGGCAGTGTGTGGTTTTACAGATGACTACGTCCCCTCCACACGTGCACTCCTGACACGACTCAGGCCTCCATGATGAGTTGTTCTAGAAAAAAATACATCAGCCAGTCAGTAAGACACGTTATCCATGCAGCATTACCTAAGATCTGGTTATTAAGCGAGCAATTCATAACACATTTGTCAAACTCATTCACACACAATTGAAAAAAAAAAACAAACTTTAACTATGATTGGTCCAGCTGAGCTTGTGGACCAGAGGAGCTGAGATCAAGGGAGGGTCGTAGGGTCAGAATTCCTCTGGACAGACACCTTGGGGGTCAGACACTCAAATAAAATAAACCAAAAAAATTCCATTTTATCCAACATTTCCATTTGATGTTTATTTTAGAATTGAGTCGCTCGTTGAATAGGACAGTTCAGTGGGCTAAATATGATCTGTGGGCCACCAGTTGATGATAACTGCTCTACAAGTGGTAGGAGACGACCCCTTGAAGTAAGTCACGGTGGCCGAGAGGTTTAAGGCGTTGGACTCGAAATCCAATGGGGTTTCCCTGCACAGGTTCGAATCCTGTTCGTGACGTACAAACACCTTTTGAGGCATTGGTGGCTTAGTTGTAAAGGAGTTGAAATTGAAGCTGCCAAGTTACCACTGAGGTGCTCTGAGTATGGCACTGTCCCCACACACTGCTGCCCACTACTCATGTTGGTGATGTGTCACAATAAAACTTTGACTTTTTACAAAGGTCTGTTTTTTCCAGACAAACAAAACAAAGATGACTGTATGGTAAATTAGAGTCTTAAATTAGATAATTAAGGTAGGTGTATCATTAAAAGTATGTTTTTTGATTCTTTTGATTTATGAACTGATTGTGCCTGAGGACAAGGGTGTTGAACAGAAATGTTGCTGTTGTTGTAGTTGAAGATGGCATAGCTGCTGTGAATGTGTATGAAATGAAACAGTAGCTCATAATGTTCATGTCAGCTTATGCGGTTTATATAAATCGTTTATTACGGCTGGGAGAAAATTATTTATGACCCTGTCATCCTGTCGCCTTAATGCTGTTCAAAAGCAGCAGGATTTTCTTCTGCAGGTTTTTGAAGTGAAACTAATTCCATGTTGATTAAAAGCCCGCAGAGCTTAACAGGAGTACACAAAAAAAATAAAGTTAATATTAATCCCTGAAGGTAAATTGAAACCCTTTCCACAATTCAACTCCCACTACTGTTCACACCGCTGAAAACATCAGGGTTGTGAGGCTTCTGCTTAAATGCATTCATTTGTATTCATGTATTTAAAAAGAAAAAGAGAAAAAAAAATCTCCTGTAGTTTCTGAATAAAAACTGAGAAAAAAACGAATAGTCACTGCTGAGAAGGGGAAAAAACTGGAAGACGAGGAGAAATATAAGAAAAGAAGGAAAAGTATAAGCAAACCTCTGTGAAAAGCCCACAATGTTAGACATTAAAACCCATGAACTAACTAAATACTAAAATGCACATTTATTACAGTAAATCTGTTCATATATAACAATACGTTTTAATGAGTAGCAATAAAAATAGTAGCAATAATAATAATAATAAGTATTGGTTATATTATATTATTAGTAGTAGCAGTAGTAGGCACTGCTGGTGTAGTGGTATCATGCAAGATTCCCATTCTTATGACCTGGGTTTGATTCCCGGGCGGTGCACTTTTCCTTAATCTCTTGATCTTTTCCTCCTAATCTCCCAATGGATTAATAAAGTTCTATCTATCTAGTATTAGTAGAACTGGTAAAACTAGTAGAATTGTAGTACTGGGGCAGTGGTGGCTTCAGGTTCAGGTTAAAATCCACCAGCTGCCAAGTCACCACTGTGCCCACATACTGCCCCCAAGGTGCATTAGCTGCCCTCTAGTGAGCTGTGTCACAATGACAAGTAATTCACTCTCACTATTTCAATAGAATTATATACAATTATACTATCATTATCATTCAGATTTCTGGTCTTTGATACAGCTGAGTCTTTAGGAAAACTCTTGGGCTACACTTATTCATTATGCCAAATGAAAACCATATATATTAGAAAACCATATATATTCCAAATATATATACTGTATATTCCAGACTTCAGTCATTGTTTTGTTTCAGCCTTCAGTCCCTGAGTGCAGAGTGAGTTCAGAGACAAAAAAAATCCTCACAGAAGCTGATTCTTTTCTTAGAGCAAAGCTGAATTCAGTTCTTCTCTAGGCAACAGAGGCAGGATCATTCATTCCACTTCTCACTGATATAAAGCAATTTATTTCACCTTCCTGAATTTACTGTGCCGCTATATTACTGCCAAAACACGTCGTTACACACAGATGTTCCTAAATAATGTTTATAGTAGTTTTAATTAAACCAGAACAGATGCTGGAGCAGGAGATTAAAACTCCATCTGACCAAAATTGAAGACAAAATATACAATTTTTGTTGAAATGATAAATTTAAAGTGAGTAAAATCTACATCAAACTGTGAATCATGAAAACCCAGTAATAAATCACTTTCAACAGTTATCACAAAAACTAAATGTAAGATTTATATTAAAATGTTATAAGGAGAAATGTGGAAAATGTGAAAGAAATAGCCATGTAGGCTTCAAGTTAGCCAAAATGTGGTCAAATACAGACAGGCAGACGGATGGATAGATAGACTGATAGACTGATAGATAGACAGATAGATAGACAGATAGACAGATAGACAGATAGACAGATAGATAGATAGATAGATAGATAGATAGATAGATAGATAGATAGATAGATAGATAGATAGATAGATAGATAGTTCAAGTCGATGGTTAGCTATTGGTTGTAGCACTGACCAGTAGATGCAGTCTTGATGAGGAGTGGCAGCACCCCTTTACTTCACAGGCGACAACAGCCTCTACAGAAACGTATCTGCCTCACAGGGAATGGGGCAAATACCGTGTAGATGTGTATGAGTTTGAAATGCAAACTAACAGAAATCAGGTTTAGATATTCGTTGTCATCATCTCCTGGAGACTCATTCAAACATCAGAGGGGTTTTGGGGAGATAGCTGCTCAGCTCACAAAGCAGAACCAAACCAGTCTAATTAAAACACTAACACACAGGGGGCAGTGTCACAAAGGTGGGCTTTACACGCTGATTAACTCAGAACAGAGACTCTAATGCAGACAGGTCAGACAAGACTAACCATTAACACGGAAAACCTACGTTTGTGTCATAAATCTGAAGAAGGTATTTTAAAAACCAAGCACATTTAAACTTAGTGGTGGAGGCAGCAGTGAATCAACTACTCTGTACTTTGAAAAAATATTAATGTTGACAAAGGTCTCAGCTGATAAAATAAATGTCAACTTCACTATGTAACATCTTGAGAACGTGTTTTTTGCTGTTAGGTTCACATTTACAATGGGAACAAGTTTATAAAAGATTTTCATTCACAGAAACTCAATTTATGTTTCATCCAACGTAAAGTTTACTAGGTAATTTGTGATGTTTGGTGTAAAAATCAGATTCTTTATTGACAGTGAACTGACCAAATGACAGGGGTGTGGACCAGCAACAAACAAACTAACTAACTAACTCAGTTTTAGACCAACTGTGGGAAAGGCTGAATATCTACTCGGTGAGAGGGTGAGTGAATCAGTGAGTGAATGAATGTGTTCATGAATGTAAGTGGTGTGAAATTGGTCTGGCGCTGGTAGTCAGTCTCTTAGAATGGATTCAACTTCTCTGTAGGAACTCTCCTGCTCCTCCTGCAGGAGGAACATCTGCTGTCAACACAAAAAAAATAAAAACACCTGGAACTGACTAAGGTTTCAGGACTACAACACAGAGAATGAAGAACTTTCAGCCCACATCAATATTGGAACAACTGGAAAACTTTCAGATAACCTCAACGTTAAGTGAAATATATATATATATACTGTATATATATACACACACACACACACACACATATATATATATATATCCTACTTGTTGCATACTGCGCCACTTAAGGTGGTGTTTCAGCAATTTTGTCAATAGTCACCTTGGAATAAAGAATAAAACAGTTTTAAAGACTTTATTGGAGAATAATTTGGTTGTTATTGAAGCATTATTGAAGCTCCAGTTGACCTCGGTACCCCGCCACTTGTGAGATTATCTGGCCTAACAGTAACTCAGACACAGGGAGTATGTGAGAACAATTTTCAAGGCTTTACAGGAACCTTAGAAACGAAAATGAGTAGATTTCCCATCACTGGCTAACCCTGGTCGTTTCAGTGTTTTTCCACTGACTACGTGAGTTTCAGTACAATTCAAATGGTGGAGAATAGCACAGAATATAATTTTGTCATAACAGATGAAAATGTCAAGAGTAAGAGATCAGCAGACCTAGAAAATACTAATATCAATATCAACGTAACTAAAATATCAAAAGGCTAAACATCAAATTATTAGTAATTGTGTAAAAAATACTGGTCTAGATATTTTTATGTTGTAGGAACCGAAACCATAAGTGTTTGTTTTTTAATTTATGCAGCTGTATTCATTTAGTACACATCACATGACTGCATTGGTTTTGATTGGGGTGCAAGCACAGGTTAATCTCTGCAGGGTATAAGTCTTAAAGTTGTTGCTGGACTCATTGGTCCCGTCTCTCTGGAGTACCTGTCATTCCAATCAAAGAAGCCGCCAGTGAGGAATGACAAACGACTTGCAGATCCTTCGCCTACCGGCACACATAAATCCTGCTGTCTGAGCTGGACGATGACGCTCTCGCTACAAATGCTGCTGCTGCAGTAGAACAGCAGCATCCTGCAGGAGGTAATGGGTTCTGGTTCATGGAACACATAGACCACAGAGTCCAGGTTCACCAGGAACACAGGACTAAAACCACATGGCTGCAAATATCAGATTTTAAATGACTAAGGAATACATTTAGAAATCTCCACTGGAAACCAAAATTAAAGACATAGCTACCACATGTTGGCAAAAAAGTCCCCAAAAAAATGGGGATATGGATCAGCTATTTCATTTAAAGAAAAATGAATTTGGACACCAAATTCACAGAGAGAATCAGCTGAAGCTGATACACTGCA